CAGATCATCTAGGCAACAAATTAACAGAGTAACCGTGATTCTTTCAGAAGGAGAGAAGAAATCTAGGGTAATTAGAGGGGGGAGGGGGGAGGGAAAGGGGGAGGAGGAGGGAAAGGGGGATGGGGAGAGATTGGACAAGGGGCATAAAGAATAATTATGATTTGTAACAATACATATGCTAGTAATATTGATTTGATCAACACATCTCCATGTTCAGCCCCCAAAATATGTATAATCGATTTTGATTCAATAAATAAAATAAATTTAAAAAAATAAAAAATAAAAATATACTTTACCGATGGGAGGAAAAAAAAAAAAAGAAAATTAATTCAAATGTCTTTTTAAAAATGCTTATAAGAGCATGTATTAATGCATAACAGTAAAGTAACTGAATGAACACAATATAAACATTACACAGTCAGATAATCTCAACTTTCACTCTGCAGAAAAAAAATTTACTTTGCATTGATTACACATTCACAAATGTACATGGGTACTTCAAAAAGTTCGTGGAAAGATTTCCATCATCTTTCAATTATATTTTTCCACAAATTTTTTGAAGTATCCTCGTAGTGTGACAGTGACCAAATCTACATGCAAGGACAGGTAATGTTCTGTGTTAGTCATGATCCATTTTAAAATAACATATCTTTCTCGAGATGTTCAGGTTCCTAAAAAAACCTACATTTTCAGTGAATGACCTAGTAAATTAAAGATACAGTTTTATTTCATGTATTGAGTTTAAGTGTTTAAGATTACACAGAGTTACAAAAAACATCCCCAAAAAGAGGTCCCTGGGAATTCATATAAGATACTAAAAGATATCTCTTTACATTCATGGCCCCTTTTAGCAATGACCTAGAAATTAAAATGTCCTATTTATTAATTTATCTACAAAGGTAAAGATTTTCTTTCAAATGTATTTTTTTTTTTTTTGTCCTTTTTGAGACTGGCCACACCGCGCTCAGCCAGTGAGCACTGTGAGCGCACCGGTCATCCCTATATAGGATCTGAACCTGCGGTGGGAGCACTGCTGCGCTCCCAGTGCCGCACTCTCCAGAGTGCGCCAGGGGCTCGGCCCCTTTCAAATGTATTTTGATTGTATTCATCACATAGTAGTCATTAGCTAAAGATGTAAAAGTGAGACTCTCAGGTAAGGAATACAAAATTATAATTCAGTATAATGAGGCAGGCAACTGCCAACTAAATCTTAAAAGGCGAGATAACTTAGCTGTGGTTGTAAAATCCAAGCAGACTTGTAAGATGGCTTATGTAGATTAGTTAGACTTCTGAGATAGCTGGTCAGATAGATATCATTAGAACTGTGTGCAGCAATTGTCAAAACGATGAGGAAAATATCAGTCATATACCTTGTACTGAGAAATAAACACTACTATAAGTCAGCTGCTAGAGTCTAAAATCACAGATGTCTTACTACACAATAGAAAGTTCATTAAATTTTATCTACATTAAGGAATTAATAATTTCATTAAAGGGTTTGGCTATTTAAATAATTCTTCTTTTGCTGCTGTTGTTCTTCAAGTCTCTGTGATGCAATAATCACACTCCCAATATATTTGTTTTTGCAAAGCTAATATTTTCATCCATCTGGCTGAAATATAAAGTCAACCAGTATTATTTATACTATATTATACCTATAGTCCATACATGGGTTCTGTAAGGAATTATTTCTAAGTGTACATTAACTACCTTATTTCAACTCTGTCAGAGTAGAATTCTTGTTCTTATTAAAGAGAATTATGTATGTTCCAGCTCTAATCTCTAACTTATCCCCTGAAAGAGTGGGATAAGTTTATATCCCACCATGACCATGTTCCAAAATGAATATCAGATGAGTTACTAAATAAATCTACACACTAATCTACTTAAAATTCTATAGAGGAAAGAGATACATTTAATAAAGTTTACCAATAAAAATGATTACCTAAAAAATTATTTTATTCCAGATTAAAATTAAGCATGCCCTTTGCAAGAAAGATGATAAAAATTTGTATCTTCTATAAAGGGTGAAGGAGGTGTGGCTTAATTCTTCCACCTCTATAGATGTCTGTCATTCTAGCCACAGAGTCAAAGAATCTATTACATAAGACTCCAGACAAAGTGTTCCTTTAATTAAATAATAAATAATTAAAACACCTCTGAATTTTACTGTAAGCAAAAGAAATGTAACTTCAAATACCTAATCATCTATATCTAAAATCACCTAACAGAACAAGGTCTCACTTTATTTATTATGATTGATGTTTGTCACCTAGAGGATGTCACTTCCCTCAAACCTCTACATTGAGATTTTCTAGGGTTTACACTTTAGCATTTAAGGATGCCAACTTCCATTCAGAGTTTCTTTTAGAAATTGATAAGGAGAAGCAAGAAACTTTTACATTGCTTTATGTCTCTTTTCTATGTATTAACTATGTATTAATTTTATATTTAGATTGGAACACTACATATTTATGTAACAAGATAATATAAACTTTAAAAAATAAAGATAACTATTCAAAACAAATTATTCTATCACTATTCCTTTGAATCATAAATTTAAAAGCACTGTTTTGAAAGGTGAAAAAGATGCCATACAGGCTACAGTTCAATATATTTCAGATACAAATACGCAGGTTCATTTAATTATACATAAGTTTTATTTAAAGAAAAACAAGGTATATGGCCACAGCATTTCAATTAAGGAGTTAGAAAAAAGCAAAGTGCTTCGTGGTTCTCCAGTTACCATTCAAATAATAAACTTTTTAACGTTAAAATAAAGTGTAGAAGAAATAAGTTCTGTAAGTAGACTGAGCAATACAAATTCAAAATACAACTCTGTCTTCCTGTGTTCTTTCCCACCAAAGTGTGCTGTTTAAAGTTCCACAACTATTATCTTCTTCCTCTTGTTCTTTAGTGAGTTCTACAAAAACCTAGATGAAAGGAAATAAATGAATATAGTATTCTGTACCTCAATTATCTCAAAGAACTTTTAACCAAATCAGAAATGATACAAGACTATATCTAATTACATTAACAATTACCAAAAGAGATTTATTGATATCAATACTATTCAAACAGAATAAGTTATCTCCATTAATTACATACAAAGATGGATGTTATTTTAGAGAATTAATAATTTCTTTTGATTAATATTTTAACTGCCACAAAATAATTTATAAATATTTAAACAATGTAATTTCAGATATGCTAACAACTGAATACCATTATCATGACTAACTTTCTTTACCAAACTGAAAAAATTGAGCTATTCAAAATAAGCAAATGGAAATTATCTTCATTTAATTATTCCGCAATGTATACATATATAAAAACATCACATTGTACCTCATAAATGCACACAAATATAATTTTTCAAGTAAAAGTAGTATTAATAAAAGTAAATCAGATTTTTAAAAAAACAAAGTAAGCAATGAAGAACCTAAAGTTTTTTAAAATTATGCAAAATAGATGATTCTATAACACTTTGTCTCTGGTTCATAATCTCTCTCCCTTTCCAATATAAACATAAACAATTGATTAGATACTTTCTTCCATAAAATAAGTTTTAAAAATTTCACTTTATTGTACCTGTTCCAGTGTTGCTTGAGAAAAGCTATATTCTTCAATGGCAAAAGTATGTTTAGCTATTAAAATATAAAGACAATATTTTACTTATCAACAGTTTTAAAGAATAAAATGGCACTAAGATGCCTACAGTCTCTGCTAAAAAAAACCAAACTCTAATCGGCTCATTTAAATTTGAAGCTTCCACTCATGTCATTTTCCTCTCCCTATCTTGCTTGCTTCCTTTTTCTTACTCACGTCCACAATTTCTCTATAGCCTTCGGCACTATGTGTTTAATGTTACTTTTCTTATTACACCTTTTCTATCTCCTCTGTTCCCCTCTACTTTCTTCCTCTGTTGTTCTTTTCTTTCATGTTTCTTTTGATCCCTACTCTTTATCTCCCATTCCCCAACTCCACTGTAGCCTGTTCTTGCTTCTTGAACTAGATCTTGGATTTATGTCATATATCCATAAACTTTTCTTATTTTATATTTTTTTGCAATCTAATCTAATACCAAATGTCTGCTGTTCTATTCATTCCTTTAATTTAACTTTCCCTAAGTAAAGCTCATAAAGAAATCAACAGGAAAGCAGAAACTTTACCTGACTATGTGAACACATATATTATAGGCACAAAAATCATTAGTACTTTTAGGCAAAAAAACATCAGTCTGCAGCTGTGGTGTAGATATGTGAGGTATCAAGAAATAGTTTTGTATTCACATAAAGAACAATCATAAAAATCCTATAGTTATTTTGAAAGGTATTCATGATAAACCTTATGTGTAAATATAGGTTGTAACAGCTTATAAATACCATTAAAAAGCTGTATATGAACACTTGCCCCACCCAGGAGCTTATCTCTGTCTACTGCCACCAGCATATATTTATCCTATCTACTGCATTTTTTGAAAATGCCAAGATTCAATAATCTTCTTTAAAACTCTGGGAAATGTCTGCCCTCCTGCACTATGAATTCTCTTCTCCTCTCTCCTGCTGCCACTAGAGTCTTGATACCATTGACATTTCTATGGCCCAGTATAAAGTAACTATTCCAGAAACTCAATGCTCCTGCCACTGGACTGAACTGCTGAGAGATTAAGCTGACCTTTTTCATAGATGGAATGTGATAAACTGTGGTGATATCCACTAAAGACTGTAAAAGTTTTACACTACAATATAGTTGATCTACCAAATCCCTGTCACATTAGTATTTATCTATATCTTAGATTAAATGAATAAAAAGTTATCTTCCTATTTGCCATAGTTGCTACAATAAACTGAATCCCAGGTTCTAAATTTTTTAAATAAAACTCTTCCATAATTTGAGAGCTACCTTACAATCTTTTTCAAAAACTACTCACCTTCTTCCAGTTTAGAAAAAGATTGTGAAAGGGACTGAACATCTTCCTTAGGAATTTTATAAACCAAAATAGAAGAAAAACTGTAAACAAACATAAGAAAAAATATAGAAAAATTCAAAAATTACTACTATTGTGTTCTAAAACTAAAGTTCAAAATTTTTAAAGTTCAAAAGTAAACTCTAGTAATTTGTTTCGATATTTATTTGGGAAAAGACTAATTGAAATAAAATATTTCCATATACAATAAAATAACTCTATCTTTACTACTGAATAAGAACTTTAAAAAGTTTAATTACTATCAAATATTGAAAGATCTAACACTAAGGTAGATATAAAACTCCAGCCATCAGACTTAGTCAAATATAGTGATAACTGGCCATTTTAATATGAGATACACAGGCAGATAGATATTATAAATTAAGACAGTATTTTTCTTAATCTTTAATATAATAAACTTTTACGATTATTGCTCTATAAAGAAATATAATTATATTTTAAAATTAAAAAAATTTTTACCTCTCCTGACGTCTTGCATTTGGAAAAATATACAGAATTTCTCTTTGAAGGCGGTCTACTTCTAGGTTTTCTATCCAGTCTTTTAATTTAATTTCCAAAAAGTAGCCTTTTCCAAATTTACTCTTTAGATGTTGTGCTGTTCCAATACATCTGAAGTAATTTTTAAAAGAAAGCTCAGATATAAAATGACTTGACAGTTTCAAAGAAAGATTTCTCAAATCTCTACCATTTTTTAAGTAAAATTATGTTGGAATACTTTTTACATTTACAGAAAAGTTACAAAGATAATACAACATCCCCATACAGCCCTCATCCAGTTTTAGTTTCCCATATCTTTCTTACAACATCTTATATTATTAACATGGTACATTTGTCAAAATTGAGAAACCAACATTATTGCATTACTGTTAATGAAACTCCAGACTTCATTTGGATTTCACCAGTTTTCCAGTAGCATCCATTTTCTGTCATGTCTCCTTTTTCTTCAATAGCTGGTGACAATTTCTACTTTTTCCTTCTTTTTCATGACTTTGACAATTTTGAGAAGGACTGGTCAACTATTTTGGTAAAATGTCCCTGAATTTGGGTTAGTCTGATGTTTTTCTCACTATTAGTTTGGGGTTATGGGTTTTGGAGAGAATACCACACAGCTGAAGTATTCTTATCACATCATATCAGGAGGTACATGACATCTGTATAACACTGCCTAGTTAAGGTAGTATTTATCAAGTTTCTTAACTGTAAAGTTATTATTTTTCCCTTTCTGAACTCCAATCTTTATGAGACTGGCTAAGTCCAGGCCAAATAGGGGGGTAGGAGATTAGGCTTCCCCTCATAGAGTAGGGTAATATCTACATACATTATTTGGAATCATTCTGTAAGAAGGAGTTGCCTCTTCTCTCACATTTATTTATTTATTCAATCATTTAGTCAATAATTTATTTATGTAAATGTGAACTCATACATTTATTTTATACTTTGCATTATAAGCCAATACAAGCCTAACAATTTCTGAAAATAACAAATATCATGCCTAAAAATAACATTCTAAGTTACTGAATAACTAAGCCAATTCCAAATGTAAAGTAGCTAGCCATTTTTTGGAAAAATTAACATATAACGTTTTTAAGTAATTCTATAGAAAACTAAGTGATTCAAAGATATTAAGTTTTGAAATAACATTCAAAATCCAACCTCACTCTCCTTCCCTAAATGGCATGCTGATTAGACATCTACCTTAACTGACCAGACACCATGATAGCCACTCGGTCACAGACAGCCTCTGCCTCCTCCATATAATGAGTGGTCAGAATAGCAGCCCGCTTTTTGTTTTTAAATGCAGTTTGAATTGCTCGCCTATAAAACATAAATAAAATAAAAAGAAGAAAGAACACATAAGAACACATTTGTTTGCTAATAAAAATATTGGGTTTTTCATATACAAAAATCAACTCAAAATGGATTAAAGTCCTAAATGTAAGACTTGAAACTGTGAAACTGCTAGAAGAAAACATGGGGGAAATGATACATGAAATGGGAATGGGTAGTGCTTTTTTGAGTGAGAGTATGAAAGCACAGGTAACTAAAGCAAAAATACACAAACAGGGACTACATCAAACTAAAAAGCTTCTGCACAGCAAAGTGAAGAGACAACCTACAGAATGAGAGAAAGTGTTTGCAAACTACAAATCAGACAAGGGGCTAATATCTAGAACATATAAGGAACTCAAACTGCTCAACAGCAAAAAACCCAATTAAAAACTGGGAAAGGACCTTATACTTGTCTGTTTCTGCTGCTTATAATTGAATACCTGAAACTGGGTAATTATTAAGAAATAAAATTTAGTTCTTACAGTTTTGAAGGCTGGGAAGTCCAAAGTCCAGGGAGCACATCAGGTAAGGTGACTCTACAGTGACCAGGGTGTCACATGGTGAAAATGGGCTGAACAAGAGTAAGCTAACCACTTCATTTGCTCTTCTTGTAAAGCCATCAAAACCACAACAGTACCCATTAAACCATCAATGAATTATCCATTTACAAGGGGTATAGTCCTCACAATCTAATCACTTCTTAAAGACCACACCTTTCAATTACCATAATAGGATTTCCTACCCTCTTAACACCGTTACAATGGAGATTAAGTTTCAACAACATGAACTTTTGGGGGACACGCTTGACCCACAGCAGACCTGAACAGACATTTCTCAAAATAAGACATAAAAATGGCCAACAAGCACATGAAAAAATGTTCAAAATCACTAATCATCAGAGAAATGCAAATTAAAACCACAATGAGATATCATCTCATCCCAGTTAGAATGGCTATTATCAACAAGATGGAAAATGACAAATGCTGGCAAGGATACGGAGAAAAGGGAACACTCCTACAATGTTGATGGGAATGTAAATTGGTACAGCCACTGTGGAAAACAGCATGAAGTTTCCTCAGATAACTAAAACTAGACCTATGTTATGACCCAGCTATCCTACCACTGGGTATGTACCCAAAGGAAATGAAATAAAAACATCAGAACAAGACCTACATTCCAATTTTCATCACAGCACAATTCGCAATAGCCAAGAGATGGAATCAACCTAAATGCCCATCAACTGTGGTATAAATAGCTAATGCAATACTATTCAGATATAAAAAGAAATCATAACCTATCATTTGCAGCAACATGGATGGAACTAGAAACCATCATGTTAAGTGAAGTAAGTCAGGCACAGAAAGACAAATACTGCATGATATCAATAATACATGGGATCTAAAAAAAAGAAAAAAGGTGGTTCTCATAGAATTAGAGAGTAGAATAATGGTTACCAGGGGCAGTGGCAGCTGGGGGAGAAATGGTGGACTAACAGGTACAAAACTATACTATCTACCCTAAGTGTATCTTTGTGCAGTATATGCATGCACTGAAACAACACACTGTACCCCACAAGTGTACAAATAAATGTTAAAATAAAAAATAAATGAAATAAATTTTTTAACAATTGGGCTTTTTAAAATCCAATTATTTGGTTAATTTGGCTAATTAAAACTTAACCAAATATCAATTGGTATAACTATTATATCCTGCCCAACTGTGATTTTTCTATTCTAATTTATTTTCCCTTAACTTTGAAAGTTTATCAAATGAAGAAAAATTCATGGAAAAGAAATTCCATGATTTTAAGTTTATATGGGTTAAAGTATGATAATCAATGTATCATAAAAATTGATGCCTTTTCATGCTGTAACAAAAATAGGGTGGATAAATAATCCATACATATAATAGTTATAAAACTGAAATGTTGTATATGTGTTTGCATGAATGTGTGTATGAAAAACATACATTACTTTCACAGATAACCAAAAACAACATAATTTGATCAAGATATGCTAAAAATACTAAAAATATACAAAAAATTTGAGCATCGAAATCCTAATTTGTCATTAAGAAACTTATCTTCATTACATATGTAAATCATATTCAACATATGCCTCACCCTTGTATATCATACCTGGCCTGAAGTTGGTTCAACATCACCAATGAGAATATTAATAATTGTGCTTTTGCCTGCACCATTTGGACCCAATAGTCCCAAGATCTCTCCTAAAGACATTGAAAGGAAAAAAAAATTATATTCAAATCAAACTAAAAATGGAAATTACTCTTCTGGAAAAGTTAGTTAAGAAAAAATAATTAAATACTAGCCTTTTTTCACACAGAAAGAGATGTATTTAGTTGCCACTTTCTTTACTTTTCTTGAAAGAAGAAAATCTTTCTTGTCATCATATTCTTTATGCAAACTGCTGACCATAATGGCTGGTTTCTAACAAGGGAAACAGGATTTAAAAAAAGAGTTATAAACCAGATATCTATCATTAAGTGACAGGCTACACATACCTCATGTCCATATCATAAGAACTATATTTGCTAATAAGGACGTATTGTACAAATAAATAACCATTTATGACTAAAATCATGGCTTATTCAAAAGTAAATAGACAAAAATAATTTTTCAAGAAAGATTATTTTCAGGTTGATTCATATGCAAAAAAAAAAATATTTTTCAGATTAATACCTATATACTGGCAAGTGATCATTTGACATTTCATATGACCTAGCCATCAAGACTAAATTACCTCCTCACAACACTGGCAACTGATCAGCTCTTTAACCTTTAGTCTTTCAGCTTTGACATCTTCATCTTCATTTTCATTGTTTGGTGGTTCTGGAAACTTCCTAATTTTGGACTTTGTTGAAAGGGTCCTACATATGTAAAGATAGTAGATTTTCGAATAATTAAAATAGTAAGAAATCCAAGCATTACATAAGGAAAAGATTTTTTAAAATATACAACCATGATACCTAGGGTTATCTCTGAAAGTTGGAATTATAAGTGATATTTGACTGACAACATTTGAATAATATTATCTAAATTCATTCATGTATTCAACAATATTATATATGACTAAGTACATGGTCAGGTGTCATTCCACATAAAGACAGAATGATGAAAAAACATGGCCCTATTCTGTATACTTAGGGAATTGCTCAATCAATTTCTTTTCTCTTTCCATATCTTTCCCTTCTGTATCTTAATAGGGTATTTTCTGGAGAGTGGTGGGGTCATCTTTTTCCCACATATAACAGAACCCAAAAATCTCATTTGAACATGAATTCATCTCTACCTCTTATATCATTACTCTCCCTCCTTTCATAGCTGAAAACCTTCCATCTCCAGTTACACATCTCCCATTCACTCCTTAATTCCCTGTAATCTGGTTTCTGCCCTTACCTCTCCATTAATATTATTTTCTGTAAGATAACTAATGATTTTGTATTTGCCTTGTCTAATAGCTCAATTTAACTAATCTTCAGCCTTTAATATGATTGGTTTTTTCCCTTGATCCTTTGTTTTTCATAATTTCATCTCCTATTTTCCTCTCTACCTCTCTTACTATTACTTTAAAATTTCCTTTACAAATACTTCTTCCTCTGCCTACTCTTAAAAATGCTGTTCCCATGGGTGCTGACTTCAGCCCTCTACATTTACTCTTTCTGGGCAATTTCATTTTTATTAAGGCTGTAAATTCTTTAAAGGCAGGGTCCATATTTTTTCATCTTTCTATCTTTATTTCAGCATATAATTAGATTCACCAATAGTTATGAGTTTTAGTAGACAGGTCAAACAGATATAGACATTGAGGATGCTGAAAGGGGTGATGAATGTAAGTGACAAATGATGTGAGCAAGGCTGGTTAGAGGAAAAAGTAAAAATGGGGATATTTGGGAGAATAGGAAAAACTCAAGGGTATGAAATCATAGAAGGAAAAGTCCAACAGGACTCATAAAATAAGAGAAGAAGAAAGATGGAAAGTTATTGGTAGAGTTGGACAATCAAGTTTAAGATTTTACAGATGAAATAAAGAACAGTGATGTCATGGCTCTGATGCAAACAAATGGGTGAAGTAGAATAGAGGCAAGTCACTGGCTTGGAGAAAATCAGAAACTGAAAGGTTAGAGTATTAGAAAGGTTATCATGAGGGTGGTCGCCTTCCCCAAGTTGACAGCAGGAATATGGACAAAGAGGAGGCAGAGTCAGATGCTACAGTCTTTAACAAACGGGGGAACATCCAGTGGTTAGTAAATAACAATTATACATTTATTTATACACTCTAGTTTTCTATAATATGTTAATATTCAGCAAATAAATTAAAAAAAAACATATGAGTAATATACAAAAGAAATTCAGAATTAATTTAGTACCGACAGCCATATTTCAAATGTACAACTTGAAGAAAATATTTGCAAATCATATATCTCATAAGGTACTTATATCCAGAATATATAAAGAACACTTACAACTCAGTAATATAAAAACAAATAACTCAATTTTTTCAAATGTGCAAAGGATTTGAATAGACATTTCTCAAGAGAAGATCTAAAATTGGACAATAAACACATGAAAAGGTGCTCAACATCATGAATCATTAGGAAAATGCAAATCAAAACCATACTACTAGAATGGCTAAAATAAAAAAGACAAACAACAACAAGTTTTGGCAAGGATGTGGAAAAAACAAAACCCTCTTAGAGGAAATATACTACTGCTTTGGAAAACAGTCTGGCAATTCTTCAAAAGGTTAAACATAGAGTTAACAGCAATCCCATTCCTAGGTATCAACCCAAAAGAAATAAAATACAATGGTACTTCAAAAAGTTCATGGAAAAATAGAATTAAAAGATACTATGAATCTTTCCATGAACTTTCTGAAGTACCCTCGTGTATGACTACACAAACACCTGTACACAAATGTTCATGGCAACATTATTTATAATAGCCAAAAAGTGGAAACTCACTGAGGAAGACACATACAACATTATTCAGCAAAAAAAAAAAAAAGTAACGAAGTATGCTACCTGCTACATGATAAACCTTCCATATGCTAGGTATTAATTATATTGCCCAAATCCTAACAATTTTTTAAAGGTGTTTTCTGAAAAATCTGATGATTTTCCAACATTAAAAGAAAGTGTCAACTATGGTGAAACGTAAATAAATATATAAAAGTTAGATATTTTTTAATTGGTCTTTCTTGGCTTGAGTTTTCTGAAACATTTTCAATGTTTCTTTTCTTAAACATTTTAAAAAATGTATGATATAAATATATTTAAAACACTGAACACGCAGTAAGTATACTGGGAAGTATTATATTATTATGTAAGTATTATTTGACTATACACATTAATGTTAATTTTGCAAAAATAAATATAAAAAAAAAAAATTACGCTGAGTAAAAGAGCTAGACCAAGGGCCGGCCCGGTGGCGCACTGCTACAGTGCGCCGCTTGGGAAGTGCGGCAGCACTCCCGCCGAGGGTTCGGATCCCACATACAG